TTAAATATTCTTTATAGTATTCGGGAATTAATAAAATAACACTTTGATGTTCACATTGATATTTTTTACGTTGATTAGTAATAAATTTAATAAACATATTTAACCAACCTTCAAAAACAAATAAACTAATTGCACAAGTAGTTTCTTCACTAAAAACAATATTAATTTGTTTTGTTATATTTTTTGTTATTTCTTTTTTTTGTGTGGTCATTATTAACAACACAATAAAGAGGAAAAGAACTTCCATCACCACAAATACAACATAATAACTGCGACATTTTACTTTTTCTTTCAATTTGTAATTTTTTTGGATGATCATTTGTTCTTACAACAATATTATCATCAAATATTTTTAATTGAAATCCAAATTCATCAACATTAAATATAAAATGTGGTGAAATTCCTTCTACCTTTTCTTTTAATAAATGATAATATCCTTTAATATCATTTTCATTTGGTTGATTTAATACTTTTGATATTTTTACTTTTCTTCGATTTAAATTTAATTCATTAAATGTTAAATTAACTCCTTCACAATAGTCTTCAACATAACACTGTATTGAATTTTCTGTAAATGCAATTCCTTTTCCAATAATCTCTTTCGATAATTGTTGAATATCTTTAATTGCTTCTTCATTTGTTTTTAATGATGGTATTGTATCTTCAGTTGTAATTGTATCTGTATTTGAAATATCAATTTCTTTATTCTCTGGATTAGTTATTCTTTCTACATCTCTTAATGTACAATTCATTACAACTGCTATTTCTTCATTCTTTGCTACTGGACAGTATTGTTTTATTAATTGAATTTGTTCATTAAATGTTTCTAGTTCTTCAAAATTTCTTGAATAAATTACTCTTCTAAACATTTCTCTCAGACCAACATTAACTCCTTCTATATTAAATGTTGTTTGTGCTTTATTCATTCTATTCTTTTTTTTTAGTTCATTTAAAAAAAATTATCAAAATATTCTTTTAACAATTAATTTTATTTAGTTTTTAATAACCTTTTAATTTTTATAACCACCACTATCTGTTCTTTTCTTGACCAGTTATATATTCATGAATGTTATTGGACTTTTTTTCATTCGTTTTTGTGTTTAATTTAAAATACATATTACAGCATAAATTAAAAATGCCTTTTGAAGAAATTAAAATAAACGTTGGATTATTTTATATGTTGAAATTATACCTCAGATTAAATTATCAATAAAAACATCAGAATAGTAAAATGAAGAAATATAATAAATATTAATTAAAAACAATAAACACGATTTAAAAAAATGTTGTAGTAATATGTAATGAATTTATTAATAATAACATAAAAAAAGAAACTACAGCACTTTAATTATCATTTAATATTAAATTGAAATAAAATAAAAATAAATGAATTAAGTATTAATAGGATTAGTTTCTATTGTTAATGGCTCAAGGAGACTAATCCCATCTATGAGGCATCTGGCAGCTCTACGGAGTATGTTTGGTTGTGATCTCCGCAGTATTCCATGACATCCATCATGTTTTGTATTACAAGGTTTTTAATTTCTTTTTCGATGTCAATGTCAATTTTTATTTCTTTAATTAATCTATTATATTCTTTATTTATTAATCCATTTATTTATTTGAAATTACTACTGGAATTATTTTGACATCTTTTAATTTCTCTATTTTCATTAGCCTATTCTTTAATTCCTTATACATATTTCTTTTCTTCAAATAGGCTCAATTAATATTGTGATATTCAACAATAATCATATCAAATAATAGACTAGTTTGTTTCTTTTTATCTAATACATATATATCTGGTATTTTGTGATATTGTCCATCACTTTTAGGCATTATTTGTTTGTTCCATATCATTGTGATGTCTTTATATTGGAACACTGTTTCATATGGTGGTTTTATATTGTTTATTTCCTGTGTATTTTCTTATTAATCAATATGATGATACCAATATTGTCATGTTTTTCCATATGTGATTTTTTATGACTAATACAAGATATTAGGATGTGTTGTACTGTTGTTATCTTGTCTTTACAAAGTGTTGAGTATTTTAATCTTTCATTTTTCATTATTTTTGATTTTCTATACACACAAAATATTGCACCATCTTGCATTTTAGTTAATTGGAGAAATGCATTTTTCTTAATATTGATTGACTTCCATGCTTTCACTGTAGTAGTTTTATCTACTCCTTTTGACTCAAACCATCTTCTAAAATATCCACTTATTATTTCTTCAATTTCATTGTGGATTATTCAAATTTCTTCACTACTTTCCGTCATTATTCTCAAATCATCCATATATAAAGTGTGATTTGCTTTTGGGAATTTCTCTTCGAAGAATTGAGAAAATACATTCATCTGAATGATGAGGAGTAGAGGGGATAAGGAATCACCTTGTAAAATTCATCTATTTAATTTAATACATCATAGTTATTCATTAAATTTATAGCCGATGAATATCTTCCATCTAGTCATCATACTTTCAATAATGTCAATGATGACTCCCTCATAATTAAAATATTTTAATGATTCAATTACTCATTCATGGTTGACAGTGTCATATGTTTTCTTAATGTCATAATATGACTCCACATATTTTGGGTATTTTTCTTCTTTCTGCTGATTTAACATATAACTATTAATTATTCCTTCTTTAGCAGCTAAAGATTGTAACTTACATCCCAATTGGTTATTACTAATTTTAAATGATTCACAATTCATGTTAAGTCTTCTGTGAATCTTTTCTTTTAATATGGAGGTAAATACTTTCATAATTACATTTGTACAACTGATAGGACGATAATTAATGACGTCATTCCTATCACTTTGTGGATTAATAAAGTTCTTCCACTTACCATGTCTAATGGGATGTTTTCAGGGAAGTTCAACCATTCATTAAAGATATTGAGAATGATTTCTCTTGATGATGACATCCTTTTCCAATAATACCCATATATAGTGTCTATTCCTGGTGCTTTCCAGTTACTTATTCTCATTATACTTCAATTTAATTCATTTAATGTTATTATGACATTATCATAATTGATATATCTTTCATTCCACGAGATGATTTGTTTTATTTTCCAATTCTCTTTATTTAATATCACCTGTGTTTCATATAACGATTTCCAATATTCTAAAGTAATATCGTTATTTGGGTATATTTCATTTTTTGTTTCTTCCTTATTCTAATTTTCTTATTAGAATCAAACATGATTTTATTTGTATTGATTCTGACCCTTTCATCTTTATTAAATTTAATTCTTTCTTTTATCATTGTCATCATATATTTTAGGTATTTTATTCTTTCTAGTGTTTTAACTTTAATTCCTTCTTCATCATATTCTTTTAATTTCATGATGCACTTGATTCTCTACAATTTTATTGACCAAATCTTCTAGTCTATTTATTTTCTTTAGGATTTCTTTTATTTCATCAAATTTATCTCTTATTATTTTATTTTTGAGATAGAGGTGCATAATCATTGAAATCATCTTCATATCATCTTGCAGATAATCCATTCTGCTTCCTGACCATATCCATCTATTATTAATTTCCATTATTAATTCATCAGTTTCTTTTCTTTGAAAGTAGTAATTAATATTTGAACATTTTTCTACTTTCATTTCTTTTATTTTATTGATGAGAGTGTTAAGATATTCTTCATCAATTTCTGTAGAGTTATTCTTTAATATGATGTTTTTATTATTGAATCACACTCTACTCTTCCTTCTATTATATCATTTACTTTCATTTTAATGTACCGTTTAGTGCTTTCTTTTATTTTATGTGATATTTTAATATATTTAATATATTCATTTTCATTATTGACATTGATGTTTATTGCTTTTATTATACTTTCAATTTGTTCCCATCTTAATTTCTTATATAATTTCTTATTTAACCAATTAATTGCAAAACAATACAACACTTCAATTAAAATTCTATTTCTTTGTTTTTTGTTTCTTCTTGTATTTTCATTGTACTTTGTTTGTTATTTATTATTCTTGAAATTTTACATCATTCATTCATTTCTTTATTTGGTTTTTGTTTTTAATTACTGCTTCTGTTGTTTTAATATTTTTCTTCCCGATTCTTTTGTTCTTTCTTTAATTTCTTCTTTAGTTTTTCAATTATCTTTTTCTTTTTAATTGAATATACTTCTTGGAGAATATCATACCATTTTTTCCTCTTACCTTCATATTTTTTAAGCATTTCTTCATATTCTCTCTCTTTCCATTCACTTGTTATTCTTTTTATTCTTTCTTGTATCTCTTTTATTGTTAATCATCTATGTCTATTGTTTGTATATTCATTATTATTATTGTATTTACCTTGTTTTTTATTTGTTTTTCTTTGTATCTTTCGTCTTCTAAACCCTTTTTCCTTGGTGTATCGTTTACCTTTATTATTATAATTGTTATGCCATTTATTGCTATTGACATTTCTTTTTTTATTGTATGACCTTAGATTTCTATGTCTTGTTTGCTTTTCTTTACAAGACTCTAAGGTTTTACACAATAGCCAAGGTATTAAAATTTGTTGTATTTCTTGCATTGGAAAAGGATCTTTAAATAAAATAATTAAAATAATTAAATATAAATAATCAAATCATCTATTTCATTAAAATTTCATACAAATTGAATATAAATGATTATAAAATAAAAACGTAAATATTTATGGAATGTATTTATCATATTTTTTATTTTTTATTTTTATTTAGGAGCAAAATATAATAGATAGGGAAGATGCATTACAGGAGACACCACAAAAAAATATAGAAAAACAAATAACCAAAGAAGAAGAAATTCACATCAACCAAAGAATAAAAATGACAGAAGAATGAATGAAAATAGGTATTATCTGTATTGACAGAGATGCATGAATAATTACAATAATAATTACAATAATAATTATAACCATAACTATCACAACATAGATGATACAAATCATTTCACTCATCACTTCAATCATAACTATCGTCATAAACACTTTAATAATAATTTCAACAGAAAT